TTCTTGCTTGAGACCCTTTGTACTAACTGAGGCTTCTGTTAGGGCACTCTTCCCCAGAAATTTAACTTGGCTGGCTTTTTCCTATCATTCAGTTATCAGTCAAAATATTGCCTACACTAAAATGATACTTAAAATTTATTTCTGCTTATTTGTTAGGCGTTTCATCATGCTAAAATATAATCCCTGGAGACAGGGCCTTTCTCTGCCTTGTTCATTGCTGTATTTCCAGTGCCTTGAATGATGCCTGATTTGAAAGAAACTCAATCTCTATTTTTGGTGAATGAATAGATGAAAGATATTTATTTATATAGCACCATCTCCTGCTAGGCCAGGAACAAATGTGTCCTCCATCTTTGTAACCCAAGCTCAATGCAGAAGGTCTAGGACACAATAAGATCTCAAATATGTATCAGGTAAATATTTAAGTCAACTCAGTGTTTAAAAGAGGAAAAGATAATATATCATTTGCCAATACACATCAATAATAGGGCAGAATAAGGCCAATAATTTCAAATACTTTTCTATGATCCCTTTTATTTTACCTTTCTCTCATTTATTAAAGTATATGAGAGGGGGGAGGAAGGGATGGGTATATACAAACACAACGAGTAAAAGGTGCAACGTTTGGGGGATGGACACGCTTGAAGCTCTGACTCGAGAGGGGAGAGGCAGCATGGGCAATATATGTAACCTTAACACTTGTACCCCCATAATACGCTAAAATATAAAAAAGTATATGAAAAATATGTAATTTATCATTCTGGGTTACTCTCGAGCAAAACTATATATAAGCATTTGATGTCTTTAGACTATAAGAATAACACAATGTGCTCATTGGCATGGGGATAAAGCATTTGGAGCAGTTTCTATAAAAGTCATAATTTCTACATCTTTCTGCTTCATTTGGGTTCTAAATATTCTCTTCCTCATGACCTTAAGAGGACATTCATTTGAAAAAATGTTAAATGGATTTAGGAGGAAAGTCCATGACCTTGGTATTAAAGAAATGTATCTGACTTATAAACTTGGTGTTGGGTTAATCTCATTCATGGACATAAAAGTTACAAAAGTGAAAATGCCAGATATGAAAGCTGTAGCAATAAGGGAGTTAGTCAAAATGCTTCATCAAAAATGTGACCATTTTGTTAAATTTTATTTAAAACAATATTTGGAATAAATGTAGATTACTAAGAATTACGTCATCAAAATATTGCTTTATAGGGGTCACTATAAAACATCGATTTACTAAACTTTCCAAAGTTAAAGTTAAACAAATATACAAAAAAATAAGGACAGATAGAAATCTACACATAAAAATTCTACATTGCAAGTGATAATTTAATGGATACATGTAATCAAATTTCATCCTTACTTTACTATTACAGGTTTTGTCTCTGGAATTGACTTTTCTTTTTGTTACTGTGCAAGTGAATGGGGCTTTCATTGGAATTTATGTCTAGGATGCCCCATAATTCCCAGAAGTAATAATGAAAAAATAAATCACTTTACTTCACAATGTGCCTATGAAGCTTTTGTATTGATGCTTAAATCAAATTAAAGTAAGGTCACAGAGATACCTGACTCTCCTATCATTAGACAAAAAAAAAAAAGTACAAGGTATATTGAAAGAGACTGCAAATATTCAATAACATTGAGACTTCATGAAATAGATCTAACATTTAATGGCAACTCCCAATCGTTTTCTCAGCCCATAAGTCTGTATTGTAATAATGTCAATTGTTCGCTTTGGGTAGTCAGCTGGTTTCACATTAATGTCTACTTACTATTGTGATTTACTTTTCATGACTCTCAGTTGAGCTCCTGAAATTTGTGTGATCTGCCTACCATTGATTCCAAGGAAAGTTTGCTTTTGAAGCAAACACTATAGTTCAGTGACTCAGTAAAATAGCTCATATGAAGGAAAAATAGAATTAGTCTAGGTCAAATCTAGCATTTTACGCAAACACATCTTTTGGATACTAATATGTGAATATACAAGAATCTAGGTTCTATTTGGCAAGAAATTGTTGGCAATAGCATACCTACAACTTACTCAGCACATTCTTGGTGATGTTGTAAATAAACAAGTTAAAGCTAGTTCTTGCCAAAAGGATTTAAAGTTGAGCATATTAAGCTTTCTAAGACTTGGTGCAGCTTCCACAAACGTGTAAAAGAAAATATAAGCATAGCTCATTTTATTATGTTTTGCTTTCTTGCACTTCATAGCTATTGCAATTTATATAAACTGAAGGTTTGTGGCAACTGTGTATCCAGAAAGTCTATTACCACCATTTTTCCAACAGCATGGGCCCACTCTATGTCACATTTTGGTAATTCTGACAATATTTCAAACTTTTTCATTATTATCGTGAGTGACCTTTGAGGTTACTATTATAATTGCTTGGGGTGCCATGATCTTCAGCCATGTAAGACCATGAACGTAATCAATAAATGTGTGTTCTGACTGCTCCACCAACCAGGCCTTCCCCATCTCTCTTCCTCCATATTATGTCCATATTCCCTAAGGCAATACAATATTGAAATTAGGGCTATTAATAGCCCTACAATGGCCTCTAAGTATTCAGGTGAAAGGAAGAGTATTACATCTCTCACCTTAAATCAAAAGCTAGAAACAATTAAGCTTAGTGACAAAGACATGGTGAAAGCTGAGACAGGCTGAAAGCTGAGTCTCTTGCACCCAACAGTTAGCTAAGTTGTGAATGCAAACAAAAAGTTCTTAAAGGACATTAAAAGTGATATTCCAGTGAACACAAGAATAATAAGAAATCAGGACAGCCTCTGCTGATATGAAGGAAAGTTTAGTGGTTTGGATAAAAGATCAAACCAACCACAACACTCACTTAAGCCAAAACCTAAACTAGAGTAAGGTCCTAACTCTATCCAATTCTATGAATACTGAGAAGAGTGAGAAAGCTCCACAAGAAAAGTTTGAAGCAAAACTTCTGTCATGATGTTTAAAGAAAGAAGCCCTCTTCATAATATAAAAGTGCAAGTGTTAGGTAGATGGTGAGAGACCTCCGGCTCTTCTATTGACAAAGGCAGGTACTGCAAGCATTTGCCACATAGGAGGAGGAGGGAATGAACGTCTTGACAATCTGCCAATCAGAACTTAGTGCACCAACAGCAAAAGAATTCAGAGGATTCCTCAGCCCATGGGCCAAGTACGCAGGCATAATAGGGTCTGGAAGGTGACCTAGAGCAACTTAAGACTAATTATCATGCCATTAGCTTAAATCCACATTGTGGTTTATTGGCTCCTCCATAGGCTTTCAAAGAGGCTCCTGGTAGATCCACATGCGCAGTAAGACTCGGGTTATATAACTTCCAACTGTCCATCAAAGTGGTTTCACGGTGACGTTTAAACTATAAGGAAGGCCTAGCCTGGGTAATATAAAATGGGACTGCAAACCATCATCAGAATCCTCCTGTTACAACAGGGAGCTCATTGACCATCTTTTGCAAATGTATCTTAGTTGGCTAGATAAACTTTGCCATATGCTTACCTGTCTTTCAGTGTATCTGTTCATTCTTCTGCCCGAACACCCCAAGAACTGAGAACAGACTGCTGATCTGACACAAGGTAAGGCAGCAAGTGCTTACGCAGCAAATTACTCAGAAAATCTAGCTAATATCATCGATGAAGTTGGTGACATTAAACAATAGGTTTTTAATGTTGATGAAATAGCCTTATACTGGAATAAGATGCCATCAAGGACATTCTTAGCTAGAGATGAGAAGTCAATGCTTCATTCAAAGCTTGAAAGGACAAGTTGACTCTTTTTAGGGGTTAATGTAGCTGTTGACTTTAAGTTGAAGTAAATGCTTATTTACTATTCCAAAATTTCTGGGGTTCTTAAGAATTATGCCAGTTCTACTCTGCCTGTGCTCTCTAAATAGAACAACAAAGCCTGATGACAGCACACCTGTTTATAGTATGCTTCTCTGAATATTTTAAGCCTGCCTGCTGTAGAAACCTACTACTCAGAATTTTTTATTTTTTTTTGACAATGTACCCAGTCATCCAAAAGCTCTGACGGAGTTGTACAAAGAGATTAATAGTGTTTTATGCCTGCAGACCCAGCATCCATTCTGCATCTCATGAATCAAGGGGCAATTTTGATTTCTATAAGGCTAAGTCTTCAATAGTGATTCCTCTGATAGATCTGGGCAAAGTAAATTATAAACCCTTTAGAAAAGATTCATCATTCTAGGTGTGATTAAAAACATTTTGATTCATGGTCAGAAGTAAAAATATTAACATTAACAGGAGTTTGGAAGAAGTTAATTCTAACCCTCATGGATGACTGTGAGAGGTTCAAGACTTTAGTGGAGGAAGTAATGGCAGATGTTGTGGAAATAGCAAGAGAACTAGAATTAGATGTGGAGCCTGAAGATGGGACTGAATTGCTGTAATTTCACGATCAAATGTGAATGTATAAAGAGCTGCTTCTCAAGGATGAGCAAAGAAAGTGGTTTCTTAAGATAGAATCTATTCCTGGTGAAGATGCTGTAACATTGATGAAATGACAACAAAGGACTTAATATATTACATAACTTAGTTGATAAAGCAGTGGCAGTATTTGAGAGGTTTGACTCCAATTTTGAAGGACATTCTACTGTGGATAAAAATTCTATCACAAAGCATTTCATGCTACAGAGAAATCTTTGTGAAAGGAAGATTCAATGGATGTGGCAAACTCCAGTGCTTTCTTATTTTATGAAATTGCCGCAGCCATCCTAACCTTCAGCACCGATGACTCTGATCAGTCAGCAGCCATCAACGTGGAGGAAGGACCCTCCATTAGCAAAAATATTATGACTTACTGAATACTTAAATGATCATTAGCATTTTGTAAAAATAATGTATTTTTAAGTAAGATACGTAAATTGTTTCTTCAAACAAAATGCTATTTCACACTTAATAGATTACAGACAGTGTAAACATATTTTTATATGGACAGGATAACCAAAAAACTTACGTGACTTGCTTTATTGGGATATTTGCTTTCTTGCCATTTGTCTGGAACTGACCTCTCAATATCTTTGAGGTTTACCTGCAGATCAGACAAAGAAACAAAGGAAAAAAGCTCCTGGATTTAAAGGAAACAATAGGTTGCCCTGCCGAAGGAGACAGACACATTTTTGTGACAAAGTCAAGGAGATCATGTATACGTGAATTTATACACCCATCATAACAAGAAAAGATATTGAATTATAAAAGTGGACAAATTTCACATAAATTAAAGAGTACATTTTATTGTCTTTTCTTTCAGAGAAGAGGAATGGGTATGTGGAAACACAACTATTCGAAATCAATCAATCAGTCAGTCTATCATGGTGTTAGTTCCTATATGTCCTCTGAATATTAAGGGGTATATTAGCACTCAGGCATGGATCAGGTGTGTTTTCAGTTCCTGAAGAAGAGCTACATGAACAATAAACAAAGTTATGAGTTATAACTATGTTCTGATAATGTAAATGAACCCAATACTCATTTGGACCTCACTTTCCTCCCTCCCAAAGGAGAGGATTAACTACTTGATTATAAAATTATCTTTCAATGACAAAATGCTATACATTTTTGAATAATTACCCTTTTCCTTCGATTTATAACACACTAATAATAACCAAAGCAAAGTGTAACATTATATTTAATAGACAAAAAAAAACAACAAAACCCTGATAGATCTCAAATTACAAGATTAATTAGTAAAATGAATATAGGAAAATACACATCTCCTAATTTATATTTTATACCACACCAAATTTTAAGAAACAGAATTTCTCTCCCAGTTGCATTTAGATAACACTGCTTATGAAATTATCACATTATCCATAACCTAAGTTAGTTTATATTCTTATTCAAAAATATATATTTTAAAAATTAGTCACACATTTAATTTAGTATTACAAATAATTGATCATTTAGGAGAAGCAATGAAACTAATTTGCTTATGTGACTCATAAACTTCTCTAAAGATTCTGTCTTTTTAATTAACCCAAGAGATGATTCTAAAATATTTGAAGTAAAGAAAGCATTACTGGGGGAAATTTTATAGTATGTATAATGTAAATACCCTCATGTATTTCTAAGTACAAAAAAAGTGGTTAGGAACATAGATTTCTGAGTTAAATTGTCTAATGTAGAACCTTGGCTCCCCCACATCTAACAATGTGCAGCTGACTTTGGGAAAGTCATTTTCCTTTCTGTATCTCTGTATCACCAGCAGTAAAATGAAGAATATAATGGTGCTACCTCAGGTAGGTAGGGAATGGCTCTTGGTTAAAATTCAATAATGGAATATAGTATTACTATTTAAATTTCATAATACTTTCCAGTATGAAAATATTTTTATTTTATTCTCTCTATATTATATTCTAGTTCTATATTAGTAAGCTTGGGATGCTGCAACAAAATACCATAGACTTTGTGGCTTAAACAACAGAAATTTATTTCTCATAGTTCTAGAGGCTGGAAAGTCCAAAATCAAACTGCCAGTATGGTCTATTTCTGATGGGGGCTCTCTTCTTGACTTGTAGAGGGCTCCCTCTCCCTGCATTCTCACTTATCAGAGAGAAAGAAAGCTCCCTGTGGTCTCCTTCTCCTCTTATAAGGACATCACTGACAGACTTTGACAAATGCTGATGCAATATGATTTTTTTTTTTTTGACTCCCAAAAGCACCCTTCTCCCAACATTGGCAAGTCAGACACATCTAATTTGAATATTTCAGTGCTATTCCTCATTCAGCAATCTCTTCAGCTCTTTTTCTATAATCACACTCTCTCCTATATTTCATGGTGGAGAGGTTTAGCATGTTTAGGACCACAGAATAGTGTTTATGACAATGATTTACAGATTAATTAGATAAGTTTTTAAATAATTCTTCAATTGTGTTTCCTTATAACCTGAACAGGCATTGAATAGGCTGGGATACAGATAGATCTAACTGCCAGCAAATTCACTCTACCTCCAACGACTATGATTTGATATGCTCTTGAGCTCATGTATTGGGCTTAGGAAAATTTTGCTTTATTAATACTTCTAGAAGATTCTTCAATCCCTTACCAATATCCCTTCTCACCTATTTTTTTATACAAACTCAAATTTGATTAACACCTAGCAGTTAGATTTAATTCATATAGACATAGGTGAAGTTATATGGCTTGGTTCTGTGGCCATACTACCCTGAACATGCCCAATCTCATCTGATCTTGGAAGCTAAGTGGGGTTGGGCCTGGTCAGTACTTGGATAGTAGATATATGGTTTGGACAAAACACAATGTTCAAAATATTCATAGGAAGTTTATAATCTGTAGTTCTTTCTTGAAGGGCTTATTTTATTCACCATTTAATAGAGTGCCTATTATTTATGCAACAACAAAGGATAAATCCTAACAAAGATGATAATCTTTCATCTCCTTCCCAAAATGACATCATATAACCATGATATTTCTCTCATTACAAAATCAGAAAATTTTTTCCTGCCAATTACTTTAGGCTTAACAAAATATCTATTATAAGTCAGGAAAAGATGGACAGAAGTGAAAATATTGGGATTTAGGTTACAAAACCCTAGTTGAAAGAAATGCCAAATATGAAAATATGACATTTTTAAATCTTTAAAGTGGAAAATTTATCCAATTACAAGGCTATTTATAGAGTGATAAAATCAAACCAGTCAATGAAGAAGGATGTGGAAAAACAAGATTGTCGAAATAGTTAGGAGAGTGAAATGAGGACTAAGGTCTTGGATATGAAGTCACCATAATAAAAATATTAAGTAGATTTTATTAACACCTGAAATGTACAAGGCACTCTTCTGAGCATGTGAATACAGAATTTTTATTGTTTACAACAACCATTATTATTAATGGGCTTTATTACTTTCCCTGTCATAAACTGTCTGAGTTAATGAAAGGTTAGGTAATTTCCCCAAGGCTAGGCTGAACTCTAACTCGATGTTTCCCTTTTTCAATGCCAAATTTCTTTCTGTGCATGGTGGTATCACACATATGAGAGCAGAAGAGCAAGAAACTCATATTTGTCCACATAGTAATCCATGAGGGACAGTAAGGAAGATAGGATGAGGAACAGCAAGAAGAGCAGAGGTGAGTATATTTAACTATCAATTTATCATTGTGAAAACTTAGGATTTCAAAGATAAGAATTTGACATTTGATGGCATAATGTGATATAAGCTTTCTTTTTTCCCCCCTTCCTTTCTTCCCTCATTCCATTCCTCCCTCCCTTCTTCTTTCTTTGTGCCTTCTTTCCTTCTTTCTTCTTTTTCTGCTATATTACCTAGGCTAGTCTTGAACTCCTGATAGGCTCAAGCAATCCTCCTAACTCAGCCTCCCAAGTAGCTGAGACAACAGGCATGTACCACTGTGTCCAGCTGCTCTCTTAAACAAACTAATGAAAAGCACCTAAATGTACTTGAAAATTATATGGCAATGCCAAAGTATAAAGAGTGACATATATCTCATGCCTTGCTGATGGTATAAGTTTGCTACAATTGCTTTGGAAAATATTTTTCACATGACCTATTAAAGCTGAAGAAGAATCATGATAAAATCAAGACATTCATTCTTAGAGAACCTCAATTCTGCACCAGGAACAAACACAAGACTGTTTATAGCAACACTGTTTTAATGTATAAAGAAAAATTACATGTATATGTAAAATTAAATCAATAAAAAACAAAAATTATATGTTTATTATTTTATCTTACTGCATATATATATATATGTGTGTGTGGGGGGGTGTCTATATACCATAGATAGAAGTCAAAATATAATGTGTACAAAATTTAATTATAAAATAATATATTTAGAATAACTCCAATTATATAAAACCAGGAAAAAAGGAACTAATATATTGCTTAGTGATACTCATGACTACATGATAAATTTATAAAGAATGGCTAGAAAATGATTTAATAAAACATTCTGAATTAGTGGTTGTCACAGAGGGAACACAGGAAAGTAAAATCTTTGTGAAGATGCACAGAAGGAACTTCAAAAAGAAGGCTTTGTTTTCTTTCCTAAGTTTTGTGATGTGTATATGCCTGTCATTCTTCTTTTTCTTTTCTTTTCTTTTCTCTTTTTTTAGCTACACAAAACATATATAATCTTTGAACGTATAGTTTGTTATGGCATTGTATTGTAAGCAAACAATAAAGCAGTAGTCATAAATATTAGAGATTTAAACTATTTACATAGAGAGCAACTGTAGTCCCCTTTACAGGCATAAGTGCTTATCAATTCTTTACTCATTTATCAATGTTCTTTGCACAGACTCATAGGTACACATTTGCAAGAAAATAATTTAAAAGAGGACATAATTACTGTAGGCATTTATAAGTTAAAAAGAAAAAAATTCTCTGCTCATCATGTGTTGCACTATATCTACCAGGGAGTCTGGGTCTGTTAACCCCTTTCATTGTGTACACTCCATCCATGAGAGAGAGACAAGCGTATGATCATCTGGCGTAATGAAGCATCACTCTCCACATGCTACCCATCAGAGATACATGTATCACATCAATATCAGGAGCTGCTGAGAAGAGAAATGGCAGGTCTTTATCAGCCACTGCAAGTGAACTAACATGACATTAGCCTATTTGAATGGGAACCTTTATACGGTAAGGTGAGAGTCTTTCTTGGAAACAGATGAGAAGAGATAACTGCTAATATCTACATTGTATGATTTTTATTGTCACTATTGCCATTAATATTAGTATTTAGTGGATTTCCATGTTTAATATCAGAAAAGTCTTTCAAGAGCAGAAAATTCCAATTATAAGACATGTTAGGGAGAGGGACTTACCACTTTTATTTCATCAAGAGCCTCCATATTCACAATAGTTTTATTAAAAATAGATTACAAAGGAGGGATTTAAAAGTCAATCTCCCTCTAAGAAAAAGCCACACTACTAGCTCACTTCCTTTAGATCTTGACTTAAATGTTGCCTTTTCAGCCATTCCCAGCTACTTTTTTTTTAATTGTGAACTATCTTCTCTCTCCCCTAAACTCACTTCTACATCCTTTT